ACCTCCGTGCAGGGAAGCGCAAGGGCACCGAGGAGGCCGTTTCTGCCGAGCTAGTGGTACCAACAGCAAAGACTACAGTGTGTACATTCTCCCAACTTGCTGCTCGTCAACGGCCAAATGTGGCAGCACCAGTGCCCATTCTTGGAGGCCCCCAACATAAGCAGCCCTTGATAGCAGCCTTGATCCATCGTGCAGTAGATGGGTTTTGAGCTGCTTGCCCAAAGACTCGAGCTGTTGGACCAAATTCCTTGCGTGCTCGGCTGGTTGTTGCCATGGTGCTTTGGGCGTTATGCACTGTTCTTTGCCTCGTTGCCCCCGGTGCAACAGTAGCATCGGAGACATGCTACGAGGGAAGGTGCTCTGCGGGCTTGGAGAATTTCTCCAGACCGGGTCCCGATGGCTCAGCCCTTCTCCAGATGAAAGGTTCTGAATCTGTGGAGGACAGTGAGGACACGAAGTTCGGGGACAGGGTTGTGGTCAGTACCCACCTGAACATGACTGACAAACCCAAGTGCAAGAGTTGTGCGTGCTCCTTCATCGACAACATTCCCAAGTGCGGCACGGAGCTGGTGACCTCCGCGAGCAAATGTGGGGAGGTGGTGGTGAGCTGTACCTGGAAAGTAATCAAAGACGTAGTGAAGTGCGCAAAACACGGCTTTACCGGGAAGAAGTGCAAGGTGAAGACGTGCAAGAAGAAGGCCAAGGCCTGCCAGGCGCCTAAAAGCTGCTTCCAGGTCATACCCTTCGAGGACTGCATGAGTCAGCTTGCAAAGGACAAGGGTGGGGATGTCGCCAAGGCCATCAGTGTCTTGAAGGACACCAACGTGGTGAAGCCCAAGGACCTGAAAAAACTGGTGTTGAGCGGCATCCCTTCTGTTGCCAAGCAGCTCGGGAAGGAGCTTGCGAAGCTGATGCCGGACGAAGTCTACAGACTCTTCAACCAAAACAAGTTGTCAGGATATTTGGACAGTGTTCTGAACACGCTGGGAAAAGTCCAGCAGGAACTCGATCCAATCTGGAATGGCGTGACTTCCTTTCTCGAAACGCTGGGTGACTTGGGGCGGAAAGCGGCAAGCGGCCCGAGGAAGCTGCCCAGGAACAAGGACGGTGAGTTCTGCTTGTTCAAGTGGGACTTCACAGTCTTCTTTTTCACGGATTGTGGCTATTTCGAAGCGGTAGATAGCCTCTGGGGCCATGTCGCTCAAGGCTACAACCCGAAGGTGTGGGACAAGATCGACAATGACTATGCCAGCATGGCTAAGGCACTTGCGAAGTGCGCACAGCTGAAGACGACAATCCCCATCTGGAAGAAAAAGGACATCAAAGTTAACACCCCTTTCCAGAGCCTGCAACAGCTGGACTACTGCTTGCCGAAAATAGCAACAGATGGCGCACAGCTCTTGTGGAACACGTTCGATCTGGCATGGCAGGAAATGCCTGGGCTCTATGCCGAGATCCGGAAGATTGCCAACATGCTGGCGGACTATGCCGATTCTCTCATCGGCGACAACTTGAACTTCTTTGAGGAAAACTACGGCCTCTTACAGACCAACACAGGCCGGGGCACGGCGCGGGGCATGGCGGGCTTGAGGCGCAACTTCATGTGCAGCAAGAAGCATAACATGGACAACTACGCCATCATGCTCCGGATCCAGTTCGGCGTGAGCAACCAGCTCGGGACGTTTTCGAAGCAAGCCTTTGCATGGAAGAGTGCGCAGACCGCCGGAGCTGGCATCTACTTCGGCTGCGACGAGGCGCACTTCAAAGTGCTTCCCTTCGTCAACTTCCGCTTGGGCTCCTTGGGGGTCTCCTTCCCGCCCTCGGGAAGCCCGACCAATGAGAACCCGGACAAGAACCCCGACGACAAGAACGGGGTGCTGTCCATCTCTGGGGATTTCCAGGTGAAGATGTACCTTGGGCTTTGTAGGGCTCCTCAAGTATTCGAAGCTTTCTTAGAGCATAGGGACTTTGTTTGTGGGTTTGTTAAGGTACCCGCACGAATACCCGGCATTCAAGAACCACGTGAAGTTCGAGGGTGCCTTTCAACTCACCGGGGGCCTCAAGTCCGAAGGGCCCAAGGGCTTCAAAGGGACCCTCCGCTCTTCAGTGGCCTGGTATTCACCCGACATCACCAGCGGCAAAGAGAAGGACTGGAAGCCAGAGAAGCCTGGGACGCCCTCGGGGGTTGGCTTCACCATCGCCATGAAATTGGGGGAAACACGCCTGTTGGAGGCTTGGGCCTGAGTTGGGAGATCCTTCTTTCTTTTTTTTCTGTGGGGGGGGGGGGTTGGGGTTGGGTTCCAGGTCAGAGTTTCTACGGAGATCCCTCTACTCTAATCTTCAGGGAACCCTTTCCCAGGAGACAGGCGACCTGGCCTCAGCCGTGCGGCGTGACCTGAGCGAGCTCGGGCAGAACGAGTCTGGGCTTTTGGAGGACCTCCACCAGCTGTCCAAAGCGGAGGTATGGCCCACGGGGAGCTTCGACGCGCGCATCCAGGCGTACTTCTGCCTGCAGAGCAACGGGGCCTGCGAGGGCGAGGAGGAGAAGAAGAAATTATGAGAAATGAGGCGAGCTGCAGGAATAGATTCCGCTACCCGCCTTCATCTGCAAAGCTTGGAATTTTGAATCTCTTACATACGCCACGGCGTGCTGCCGGTCACATTGCATGGCGGGCATTCCGGAGCTGCGCTGTGAATTCACTGCCCTCTTTCCGTGGAGTCCGATTTCTTGGCACGGCAGCCCCTGTGGCCTCTTTCTGTGTTTTACCCTAGGCTTGCAGACTTTGCATACGGGCCACCTGAGCCCCACACAGGTCTTTTAGCCTAGAATAAGTCGGTGACGTATCCCTCGTGGTGAGCCGCAAGAGGTGTTGTGCAATGTGCTCAAAAAGCGCTTCCTTTATGGTACCCGGGAGGTTGCCTTGGGGGGGAGGGGAGGGGGCCTTACTACAAGGCGTCCTGTGTGGTACATGCAGGTTGAGGTCTTTTTTCTAACGCGCACGCAAACGGTGAGGTTTTCCACGAGTACAGCCGCCAAGACGCATCCTGTGAGTCACCCGACTCGTTGACATGTCCATGTACTAGCATCATCGGGCCTGTACTGAGCCCCCCTTATAGCCCCAGATCCTTATAGCCCCAGATGCTGAAAAACGGCGAAACTAAACCCATTTGGAGGTCCATGGGGAATGCCAACTTTTTTCTTGGATTCTCTGTATAGTGTATTTAGCTATCTATCTATCTATCTATTTTTCTATCTATTAAGAAATAAACAAACATATAGATGGATAGAACATAACTGAGTATACATATACATTTCTTCGTATGACAATAAATGGAAATATACTTACAGACTTACAGATATAAATGTAACTGTAAATAAGATAAAAAACACACACATATATATATATATGTATATATGGAATATATATAAATATAAATAAATAAATAAATATATATGTATATATATATATATAAGTAGAAATATACATATAAACATAAATACAAAAATTGAGTATAAATATAACTATAACTATAGCTAGAAATATACATATTCATATACACATACATACAAATAAATAAACACATAAACAAATAAATAACTAAATACATACATAATTAGAAAAAGCTAAATCTAAGCATACATGTAAACATACACATCTAAACTAACTAACCAGCTGTTGACGTGCCAAGCTAACTGATTGACTGACTGACTGACTGACTAACTCACTCACTCACTCACTAGCTAACTTACTACCTAGCTAGCTAGCTAGCTAACTAACTAATTAAGCTAACTAACCAACTCACAAACAAGCAAACTAACCAACCAGCCAACCAACCCACCCTAACCTAAACTAAACTAAAACATACACATCTAAACTGACTAACCAACTGTTGACGTGCCAAGTGAGTGACGAAAGCTAGCTAACTAACTGACTGACTGACTGACTGACTGACTGACTGACTGACTGACTGATTGACTAACTCACTCACTAACTAACTTACTACCTAGCTAGCTAGCTAACAAACAAACTAACTAACTAACTAACCAACTAACTAACTAACGAACCAGAACGATAATAGCAGCATCAGCAACAACAACAGGCCCAGTTATGGCAACAATAGCAGCAGCAGTATACATAAAGAGTCACGAGAAGGCGGACGTCGGCAGCAGCAAACACCAACAACCACCATTGTCACTGCGTCGTCGGTTTCTATGCTTAACGCCGGCCACTTGAAAGGTGTCTGGACGAGAGGAGGAATCCAAGAAGGAGGCGGAGAAGCTCGAGGCGAAGGCCACGCTTCGATCCT